GCTACTGATTTCTCCTCCCACCATCCATTACAGTGATTGAAATACCTGCAAAGTCTCACAATGTATTAACACGTACCTTGTCAATTCTTTTAAAACGTAAGGGCTTTACAGATATAGCCTCACTTGTCCATGTTGAGGGGTTGACAATATATTCAGCTTGCACCAAATCTCCTTTACAAGGATAAAAGTCTTAAACATAAAAAGCAGCATGGAATAACTCAGAATCTGTTAAAAGGGAAGTTGGCTTCAAGGCTGTATAAGATGGCACTGTCTGACTTTGTGGAGCACCTTGATTTTGATATGAAGCTATGCTACAATTTGGAAAAGCCAAGTGCTCTCCCACAACATCTCCTATCAGAGTAGAACACTTTATTTTGACACAGAGTGTAGCTTGACAAAACTGCATCACAGAAACAATTTGGTCAAAGGCTCCACTGAAATGAAGTATCCCTTCCAGACTTTGCACGTATAAAAGATGATACCACCTTTTCATGCCACACTGTAATTTAGCCAAATGCTGGATTACAAAAGAAAACAACTAAAGCAGGGAAAAAGATATGCACTTCAGCAGTCAATACATATTTTAATCACATTTAAAAATAAGCAAGCTGTTCAAAGATAAAATCTATTTCTTTAACTTGGCCATCAAGTATTCCTGCAATCAATTGATTGTAACCTGGGCATTTGGGTTTCACTTGCAATTATAACATTGCAGAAAGCCTGCAGTCATAATTGTAATTTCTGTCCTTCCTTGCCAGCTTTCCACAAGTAAATTTATTGGAGAAGCCACCAGGAAGTTGAAGTCACAGTCATGTGAAATTCTTATTTTATGACAGCAAATGAGATTGCCATCGCTAAGTTTTGTGGTCATGTGACTTCATGCTTTATGACAGTGTTGCTTAGCAATGACAATTCCCATCCCGAATGCTGCTGTTAACCAAGGACGATTATCTGTACTTAAAGCAATATACCATCTGAAATTTAAAACTGTAGCTTCAAAAAAAAAAACCTTTCAAAGGAAATATAAAGGTTACCTTTACAAACTACCTTCATAGAGAAAGAGGTTGTTTGATTGATGTAACCATTGCTTCCAGTAAACTTTGTAACATTGCCAATGAGTGTTTTAACACTTGCATCCACTGTGTAAGGATTTATGCTGTTATCATCCCATTTATCAGAGATGCTTTCTACCTGCAAAAAGGAACAAATGAACATTTCTATTGATGGTATTTCTGGTATGATGAGTGCAAGCCCTTTAGAAACATTTGTATACTATACTTCATGGTATCATTCTAAAGACAAAAATAAGGAACAGAACACTAGATCAACAAAATGGTAGGTAATCAAGCCCAACTGAAAGTTGAGCATTTTCTTTAAGCCATGTAATTTCCAGACATGTGAGATGATTATAATTTCTAGACAGTCATGGAATTGAGCAGACAGCTCTAAGGCAGTCAAGCTCAAGGACATACAAAATAGGAATCAGTAAGTTGCAGCTTATCATGGAGAGAATGGATGCACATATAGATACTTCTGAGAAACATACTCAACCAATGAAATGTTGAACATGTGAATTAAATCATTTCACAAAAATATCAAGTTGACATCATATCCTGTAGACAGATCTACAGCACTGAAGATAAAAGTAGAAACTGCTTAAGATATCTGAAGAGATTAGATAGTTTTTATTTCATCTATGCAATTAAAGCTTTTGCATCTTCTTCAAACCCCTTGACACAAGACAGCACAAGACACTCAAGGACACAATTATTAAAGTAAAAGTAAAGGATTCCCTGTCCAGTTGTGTCCAACTCCAAGGGGCAATACTCATCTGTTTCTTAGTTGAGGGAGCCAGTGTTGTCTGAAGATATTACGTGGTAATGTAGCCAGCATGACTATACATCACACAGAAAACTGTTACCTTCTGACCATTTATTTACTTGTACTTGCTTGCTTTTGAACTGCTAGGGTTGGCAGGAGCTGGGCAAGTAACTGGAGCACACCCTGTCGTGTAGCACTTGGGTCTCAAACCAAGATTGTCAGACAAGCTCAGCGTCTTTAAATGCTAAACCATTAGGTCATTATTATTAAGTAGATGCCATAAATGATAAAAGACAACTGGATGTGAAACAGAAAAAAGGGTATAGCTTCCAATCTAAAATAGGGAATATATTTTCTAACAGTTGTCAAAATATGGAAGGCAAGTATAATATTTCAGTAACTTATCACAATATGCATTTAAGCCACTGAGAAATAATTTGCCAAGACAGATAAGATTTTAAACCAGGTAGGGAAGAATGGCTCCCACTACTCATTAATCATCCATACTAACAGACTAGATCTTGTTTAACTACTACAGATATATTTGTGAGATGCAAGGGAAATTAGACCTTTTATTATTCTAGAGACCTATTTAGGCCTTGTGAAATTAGTAGTAGTAAATTAAAATTGTTGTGCCTATAATCTTTCTTCCTTGAGGATTGTATGGAAGACTGTTTTTCCACATTGTGAAGTGCTTTCTAGTCAATGTGTCAAGAACAAAAAAAGAATTGATCAAATATAGGCTGCTATAACATCCTATAATTTCATTGGGGTGTTTCTCTCTCTTCTGGATGCTGTTCTGCTTGGCTACTTTTCTTCATTGCCCCTCACCTCCATTTATCTATTTAAAATGACTGCAGCAAACTTCTGAAGGTAGTCTTATCTAAAACCTACACTTTTACTTTACTTTTGCAGAAGCAAAATCTTTCCTCCTCTCCTAACCTTATTAATTCAAATTGACTGAACTTCAAATTGTGTACTAGGTCTGCCCCCTACTGGACTTCCTCCAGTATTCATCTATCTGCAGTGTTCATGCTTTCCTATGTTTATTATCATAGAGTCTATCTGTATTTTTCATTTGTCTTATCTAGGATTATACTTTTTGTAGATGAACAGAAATTCATTGTTTGGAGGCAAGGTCCCAGAAAACTGTCGGGGGGGGGGGGGGGGAAAGGAACTCCAAATGAATAAAAAGAAGCACCAAAACCCCCCAAAAGAAACTCGTAAGTGTAAATGATAGTTAATCATTTACACTTATGACTTCGTTCTGTTTTTTGGGGCTTCTTTTTAATCATACTCTATTCATATCAGGAAATATGGGTGCAGGTATTCCACTTTTCTGACAATTTCTACCCTTTTGAAAATATCTCATCCAGGTTATTCTGCATGTGCCTGAATTTGAAATCTCTCCCCTGACTCAGCTCAGACTGAATTATTTTGTGTTGATAGAACCAGGGCAAAATCATATTCAACACCACATATAAACTGGATCGCTTATTACATTTCCACATTTCGGTGGTAGGAGACAGATCGGTATGTATTCCAAAACCTTAAATTTCTTCTTGGTAGGATGCTCAGTTAGTCTTCTCAATCTGACTAACTGGGTGTCAATCACATTAAAAGGTCTATTTTGTAAACCAGTGATTCTCATTTTTTAAAAAATGTAAGAACCCTTTTTGATTTTTTTTTTTTGCAGACCTGCGCATGATAGCTTTGTATATCAAGTATCTGTTAAGTGAAGTAAACAACAAAAGACTAGCTAAACAGTAGTTATCAGTAGCATTTTTAGGTGATACTGCATATTATTAATCACAAGATCCACATTCAATTTAAAATTAGTACTATGTAAACATTTTTTTTTTTTCAGTCTGTAGAAGGTTATGGTATTCCCCTTCAAAAGAGGAAGCCCTTTGGCAAGCTGCTAAAATGGTCCCAAAACTTGTTCACAGTAAAAGTCAGACAAACTGGGAAGATTTTTTGCAAACAACTCTCCTTTCTATGCACCTATTTTGTTCCCATCAGCAATCTTTCTGCATGCTTAGAAAAATAACTGTATCTTCTCATTTTTGCTGCCAGTAAATAATTGTAACTATTCGTTTAACATCTACATAAAGAGCTGGGAAGATTATCTGTCAACATAGGGTGAGGTATCATCAATGTGCTGATGTCTCTCACAGGTACATCTCTTCCTGTGGTGAGTTAAGCAATGCTGCAATTGTCCTCTCTTGGTGCAAGGAGGCTGCTGAGGTCTGGATGGAGAGCAACAGGCTAAAACTGAACCCTAGAAAGATGGAGCAACTTCTGAGTTTAGGGATCCTTGGATCTTGGAGAATCACCAATGTTGGTCATGGAAGGGGTTGCACCGCCCCAGATGGGACTTGGTGTGTAACCTGGGGGTTCTCCTGGATCCACAATTCCCGCTTCAGCAGTTGGCACTCAAGGCCAGGCAGAGCTTTTGCACAATTGCGAGTCATGTACCAATCATGCCCATTCCTGGATTAATGGGCTATTCTCACAATCACCCACTCCCTGGTCATCTCTAGTTTGGACTATTGTAATGCACGGGGATATCTTGGGAACAGCATCTGGAAGTTTCAGTTGGTTCAAAATGCAATGTCCAGTTTTGCACAAGTCGATATGTGCATGTGTCACCTCTTTTGTGGGCGCTACAATGGTTGCTGATTTGTTTTCAGATGCAATTCAAGGTGCTGGGAATCACCTTCAATGCATTCTATTCTAATTCTTTTCTATTTCATTTCTATCTATTCTTGCCTCATGCATGAAAAACATTCAGCGCTAGGTAACTTCTCAGCTCAACTCATTTCACAGGATTGCCACTGCGGGGGGGGGGGGGGGGGTGGAGGAGGGAGGAATAATGGTGTGTTCACTGTCTTGATTTGTATGAAAATTAGTGGTGTGTGTGTGTAAATAAAACAGGCAGAGACAGACTGGTGTTCTGTGAGTCCTCCACAAATCTCTGTGTTTGCCTGTAATGGCAGCCACCAAGCAGTGGAAAGAGCCTTCTTGAAGGAATGCTGGCAGCCTATACAAGATGAACTATTACGATACTGACGGAGTTGAAGGTGCTTCTTTTTCAGTTCTGCTCCTGTGCCAGGAGGCTGGAACAAGCTATAGGTATGGACTTTGAGGTTGAGGTTCAAAAAATTTCCAACTGGAACTTGAGATACTCTTTCCTTTTGGGGCTTTCTACTCCTGTCCTGTTTCCCCCTTCCATCTTACTACTGGCAGTGAAGTACCTTTCAGTCCGTGCAAGAAGAAGAGCTGTGTGAGTGAGCTTTGGGCTTGCTTGCTTTCTTCTTTGGTCCATATCAAAGACCCCCTCCTTGTCTGCAGCCCCCTTCAGTGGTCCAATGTGAGAAACCACTATTGTAACCAATTAAAGCTTAAGAAGCATCTCCAGTTATTTTAATCTCACCCTGACTGCTCTTAATCCATGAGATATTTTGTCTTCTTCAACGTGAGCTATTACTCTCTGTCCGACTTGCAGTGGCACACTCCTCATCACAGCATCCTCGGTGAAGCAAATTAAATCATCGATCATTCCATAGTCCAGACAAAATCTTGTTATTACACCTTCTACTGTTTTTATCTCGTCATCTATAAAAAAGAAACATTTACGTCAATACTAAATAAATCTGTACTTGCTAGAAAAATCTGTTTTAAAACTTATTTTTCTTTGTACTCTATTATAGAAAAGAGTAAAGCACACATAGTCAATTGTTTCTGATAGGTCAGTCTTTGCAAAGCGGTTTTACAAATGAAAACAGTAGGCAAAGTATTACCGGTACAACATTTTTAAAAAAAAATTCCCTTTTATGTTCACAGAACCAAGTGTCTGTCATCATATATGAATTGCTAAGCAATGATTATCAACAATAAAGATACTCAATAAGATTTTTTCATAACATTTGAATTGAAAAACATTGCACTTTCACAATAAAAAATGAAAAATTCCTTGTAGTACTGTCCTCCATCTATTATTCATCTGATTGCACAAATAAACATCCCAACAATAGGATAATGAAATTTGCAGACGATACTACGCTTGTAGGACTTATTTCTGGGGATGATGAGTCTGCATATCGGGATGAGGTATTACAGCTATCCCGCTGGTGCAAAAATAATAATCTTCTATTTAATATTAAGAAGACCAAGGAGGTTATAGTGGACTATAGGAAAAAAAGAGCAGACATTCAGCCACTGTATATAGAGGGAGTTCGTGTGGAACAGGTGGTTGAATGTAAGTTTCTCGGGACCATCATTACAAATAACCTGACCTGGAGTGCAAACACCGCTGCTTTAATTAAGAAGGCACAACAACGGTTGTATTTACTAAGGATTCTTAGGAAACAACAACTGGCTGAGAGTCTACTGACTACCTTCTATCGGAGTTCAATTGAGAGTATACCGTGTTTCTCATATAATAAGGCCGGGTCTTATTTTTTTTTGAGCCCCGAAAAAATGGCTAGGCCATCTTTTCGGGGGTGACTTAATTCCCCCCTTTGCATCTTCAGGCGGGCGGGCAGCGACAGCTTGGATGTTGACCTCTGCATTGGTGGGGCACTTCGTATCGGGCTCAATGCAGGCAGCACCATATCCGGGTGTGCAACAAAAGTACTTCCTAATGGCAAGCCCCCCCACCATACCCCCCCATTTCGCATGTTTTAATATAGGCCTTAATTTGGGGAGAGGGGCTTAATTTCATTTCATGCCTATAAAACATGCTGGGACTTCCTATTGGGGGAGGCCGTATTGTTGGAGAAACAGGGTACTATCCTACTGTCTCTGTGTATGGTTCTCGAGCTGCACAGTGGCAGAGAAAAAGGCAATTCAGAGGGTGATCAAGATGGCCCAAAACATCATTGGCTGCTCACTCCCCTCTTTGGAAGAACTATATAGGAATAGACGTAAGAGGAAGATACTTAATATATTGAATGACTCCTCTCATCCGGGACATCAGCTCTTTGAACTATTACCATCGAGAAGGAGATTTAGGGTATTAAGAACAAGGACAACCAGATTTAAGAACAGTTTTTATCCAAGTGCAGTTTTGAGTTTGAATGCAGGGTCATAAGATTTTTGTGGAATTAAATGGCTGAGAGTAATGGGGTATTTACATTTTTAAATTGCATAGAGATGATTGTATGGTTGGTTGTGTTTAGTTTAATTTTTCTTTTCTTTTTAGTGGTGTTTGTCCAGTTTTTACTTTGTGGAAGAGCACCTCATTTCGTTGCACCCGCTTGCGAGTGTAATGACAAATAAATTCTTATGTCTTATGTAGTAGTATTACTCTACGATTTGGTATCAGAACTGAAACAAATCAAAATGTATTAATTCTATTTTGCCTGCCTGAAAGAACTTACTATCTTGAATTTACTCAGCAATGAATATGGTAAAAAATAAACTATCCAGTTTCATTCAATTGTAGCCAGTGTTCTTACTGTTCAGCAAAAATAAATCTGTATTGTCAAGTACATCTCACCTTATATGTAAATTGTCAACAATATTCTAAATCTCCATATATTATTTTCCAAGCATCAGGGATTTTATGGACTTTCTGAAAATATTCTCTAGTTTATTATGCATTATAGTTGACTGTATGATATCTTCAAAGGTACATCTGCTTATACAAGCGTGTTGGGACAGACTATTATAAATTAGCTAGAAAGTTCACACTGACAATACAGAAATTAATATGAATCCTAGAAGGTGGTATACCACCCAAGAAGATAAAAGGCCAATAGTTTCAGAAACGTCAAACAAGCGAAGCATATACAGCTCCACCTTTTTAGATAGATCTTCCTTAAGAGGCAGAAGAATTTATATAAACAAATTTTGTGTAACATCATTGTTATCTGAACTTTGTCATATAAAATATTGAAAGACTGCTAAGCCAGTGTTAAAATTTCATTAGTTAGCCCACTTATTTATTTTTGATTTTTTTCATCCCCACCCCCAAAAAAATTAAGATGGTAAACATGTCTGATACAGGTAGTCCTTGATTTACAACAGTTCGTTTACTGACTGTTTGAAGTTACGGCACTGAAAAAAGTGACTATGACTGTTTTCACGCTTACAACCATTGCAGCATCTCCTTGATTACGAGATTAAAATTCAGATGTTTGACAATCAGCATGTCCTTATGATGGTTGCCATGTCCCCCGGGGTCATGTGATCCCCTTTTGTGAACTTCTGACATGCAAAGTCAATCAGGAAGCCAGATTTGCTTAACAACTGTGATACTAACTTAACAAACAAGTGGTTCAGATAACAACTGTGACAAGAAAGGTCGTAAAATGAGCAAAACTCACTTAACAAATGTCTCACTTAGCAACATAAATTTCAGGCTCAATTGTGGTCGTAGGTTGAGGACTACCTGTACTCCTTCCACATCCAATTTT